CCGAATGTTCACTACGTGCCTTGTGTGTAGTCCCCGAATGTTCACTACGTGCCTTGTGTGTAGTCCCCGGATGTTCACTACGTGCCTTGTGTGTAGTCCCCGAATGTTCACTACGTGCCTTGTGTGTAGTCCCCGAATGTTTACTTATTTCATTAAACGGAACATAATAGCTGCTCCTCGGTCCTCTCGCGGCTAATTAATCACGTCAGTTTTCTGAGAGTTTCATACCAAAATCATATACTGTTACAATGTTTGGTCATTTATCTTTTATTAATTGTTGTCTTGAGTTATTCATAGATCTGAATATGTTTCAAATATATAGGACTAGGAAGAGCATAGCTACACAATAGGCAACCTATGCTCTGCACAACTCGGGTATCAAAACCCGGTTTTTAGCGTATATTAACTGACAACTACTGGAAGTTGTTGATAACAAAAATCAGGAAAAGCGCACGTTCAACACATCTAATATTCAAGTCTCGGTCCTGCAATATATTTTTACTTAAATTATCTTATATCAGTTTTTACTTTATTGTTTGACCGCTCTGTACATTGCTGATCACAAGTTCTTCAAATCGGCCAGGTCAGGTTATAACTGTCTCTAATTTTGATCAGAGGGAAGACAGTCAGCCAAGAGTACTCGACGCCATGTTGCTCCACGTTCCTTTGTTAAGATATCTCTATAAATCCCCATTCTCAACACGTCTTCAAGAAGTGGGTGTGTGATTATTTTTCCTCCTAAAGCGACGGCATCAAACTACGTAACGCCAGACAATATCATAATGTAGTTCTGATACATTCCGTTCCACCGCGATTTTATTTCAGCTTTGGTTGTCACGTGACTTGTTCATTTACACATTGACAATCATTTTGATATAAAGAACTCAACCGTCTGTATAAAAAATAAACCGGGTTTCGATACCCGTGATGGGCAGAGCACAGATAGCCCATTGTGTAGCTTTATGCTTAATTACAAACAAATAATACTTGAATTTATTTATAGATCACTTTAAGCATATTTATATAATCAACTGCAATCAAGAGCTTATGACAAGTTGCAACTTTTTGTTTTGTAGCTGTTCGTTTGATAACACGTTGTTTTTAGTAAATGTTGTTTAACTTTATAATTTTGAGTCGATCTCATATAAAACTTTGCATAAGTTTAGGGTTCGATATCTTACTTCAAAAAATTGTAGTGAGAGTCCTGAATCGTTCAATGTGTCCGTTCTTCTGCAGATTTAGTAAAGTAAGTTGACGTTTCAAACATACACAATAATTTATTGTGTCAATTTAAAACCAAGAACAAAAAGCTAAAACTCTCTATTTGTCCACCATCTTCGGAAGATAAAGAAGACCCAAAATAATTCATTTATAAACCCGTTTATTTCTTCCTTAAAATGTGGAAAACACAAACAATGGAAAACAAAAAATGCTGTTGATAAATTATAAATGAGTGATTCGGTCTTGGCGAACTCTTCAAGTATCATTGATTGGAACAATGTACAAATACTTGAAGTAAAGTTAAAAAAACGTATTAAATATGAGAATCATTAGACATTGTTAAAAACAAAATGACTCTGAATAAAGATTTAGGTCCTGATGCCAAATCAAATTTCTGGAAATCAGTTTTGTAAATGGCGCCACTGTACAAGATGAAAATTGCACACTTGTAAGTGGCGCCACTGTACAAGGTGAAAAGTGCACACTTGTAAGTGGCGCTACTGTACAAGATGAAAATTGCACACTTGTAAGTGGCGCTACTGTACGAGATGAAAATTGCACACTTGTAAGTGACGCCACTCTACAAGGTGAAAATTGCACACTTGTAAGTGGCGCTACTGTACAAGATGAAAATTGCACACTTGTAAGTGGCGCTACTGTACGAGATGAAAATTCCACACTTGTAAGTGGCGCCACTGTACAAGGTGAAAATTGCACACTTGTAAGTGGCGCTACTGTACAAGATGAAAATTGCACACTTGTAAGTGGCGCTACTGTACAAGATGAAAATTGCACACTTGTAAGTGGCGCTACTGTACAAGATGAAAATTGCACACTTGTAAGTGACGCTACTGTACGAGATGAAAATTCCACACTTGTAAGTGGCGCTACTGTACAAGATGAAAATTGCACACTTGTAAGTGACGCCACTGTACAAGGTGAAAATTGCACACTTGTAAGTAACGCTACTGTACAAGATGAAAATTGCACACTTGTAAGTGACGCCACTCTACAAGATGAAAATTGCACACGTCTTCCTTGTCTCCTGAAGATTGTGAAGCATTTTCCACCGAAATATGTAGGGTGTATTTTAGCCTTTTATTCTTGTTTTTCATTTTATAAAATAAATTATTATGCATGTTTGAAACGTTGCATTCGTCAATTTATTATTTTTATTTAGCCCCAAAGCGTTGTTTTGGTGTTGATAAAATGCTTCCCGAAATAAGGTTCTTTGTTCTTCTCGTTATAACCACTTTCACCCTCTTGGATCGTTTAGTGATTACTAGTTTGTTTTATAGAATAAGGTTCTTTGTTCTTCTCATTATAACCACTTTCACCCTCTTGGATCGTTCAGTGATTAGTAGTTTGTTTTGTTGGATAAGGTTCTTTGTTCTTCTCATTATAACCACTTTCACCCTCTTGGATCGTTCAGTGATTAGTAGTTTGTTTTGTTGGATAAGGTTCTTTGTTCTTCTCATTATAACCACTTTCACACTCTTGGATCGTTCAGTGATTAGTAGTTTGTTTTGTTGGATAAGGTTTTTTTGTTCTTCTAATTATAACCACTTTCACCCTCTTGGATCGTTCAGTGATTAGTAGTTTGTTTTGTTGGATAAGGTTCTTTGTTCTTCTCATTATAACCACTTTCACCCTCTTGGATCGTTCAGTGATTAGTAGTTTGATTTATAGAATAAGGTTCTTTGTTCTTCTCATTATAACCACTTTCACCCTCTTGGATCGTTCAGTGATTAGTAGTTTGTTTTATAGAATAAGGTACTTTATCAAACTGAATAGTGTGATTTTCACCCTTATAACGAAGTGCAGACTGTAATACTGATTTTGCCAGTAACCGAACGTGAACGCAGATCCATAATTCGTCACTCTACTAGTTAAGCCACGCTCAGCCCTCGTAATATGCAAAGAATTGTTAGCTAACAAGTAGATCGGTTTATTTAAAATCTCCATTCGGTAAAGAAGGTGAAAGTATTCGTAGTACTGGTTTTAAAGAATATTCTGATGACCCAATTGCTAATAAAACTATCTTGATTTTAATATTAACATAATGATAATCCACTGAATACGAACCAACAAACATTTGTGATTAAGATAACTGTTGATTCAAAGTTATACTAGCTAATAGCCACGTAAAAAAAAAAACATTAATTTGAAGTACACTTTAAAAGTTGAAATGAAAAATCCTAGAAAATTACTTATTATTAAACTTTATCAGGTGATGGATAAAATTATATGTAATTTTAAAGGAAAAACGGTCTCCCGGTGGGATCACTACAGACTTACAATACTAAAATCTGGGGTTCGATTCCCCAGCAGTAGACACAGCAGATATTCCAGTTTGGCTTAGCTCTAAAACAAACAATAAGCAGGAACGTTAGTGTTAGAGAAGGGAAGAAACAATATTCCCAGTTCTTCAGTAAATCACGTAAAGCTCGCTAGAAAATACTCTTTACGTAATTACAGATCGTGAAGCTTCAACTTACATCTAAGACAGAACCAAACGTTTTCTAGGAGGTTCTATATCACAGTGGAAATTTACAGGAAGGTACTTTTAAAATGCAACCAAATGCTTTTCATTAAATCTAAAT